GTAGAGTGCTGTGGCATCACAGCTCACAGCAACCTCCAACTCCTGGGCTCAAGCGAGTCTCTTGCCTCTGCCTCTCAAGTAGCTGGGACCAAAGGCACCCGCCATAACACCCAGCTATTTTTTGTTGCAGTTGAACATTATTGTTTAGCTGGCCCGGACTGGGTTTGAATCCACCAGCCGTGTAGTGTATGTGGCTGGTGCCATAACCACTGTGCTATGGGCACCAAGCCCAAAATGATTTTAATATCATTCTAAGGTCAAGTCTAGATTTTTATTTTTTCTGAATATTTTTATTAATTTAATTTTAAAATAATATGTTACTACTAAAAGTTACCTAGATTTTCTGTTATTAAAATTTTCTGTTCTGGCTCAGCACCCGTAGCTCAGCAGCTAGGGCACCAGTCACATACACCAGAGTTGGCAGGTTTGAACCCAGCCTAAGCCTGCCAAACAATAATGACAACTATAATGAAAAAATAGCCAGGCAATGTGGCAGGTGCTTGTGGTCCCAGCTACTTGGAGGCTGAGGGAAGAGAATTGCTTAAGCTCAGGACTTTGAGGTTGCTGTGAGCTGTGATGCCATGGCACTCTACTAAGGGTGACATAGTAAGATGCTGTCTCAGAAAATTTTTTTTTCTGTTGTCTTAAATTCTTAATGAAGAAAGGAAAAGTCAAATACTGACAGTTGAATGCATTCTAGTAAAAAGTGGTCTGGAGACTGCTGGGGACCCTCACCGAGAGAGGGTCTATGAGGGATGCATGCTGTGAGTGCCTGCTAAAAATATCTTTAAGGGCAAGGTGACCAAGTTGCTCATGACTGTGCCCCAGGAGCCCTGTTTAGTGTGACTGTGGATTTTTTTTTTTATTTGAGACAGAGTCTCACTTTGTTGCTCAGGCTAGAGCGCTATGGCCTTAGCCTAGCCACAACAACCTCAAATGCCTGGGCTCAAGTGATCCTCCTGCCTCAGACTCCCAAGTAACTAGGACTACAGGTACCCACCATAACACCCAACTGATTTTTTATTTTTAGTAGAGACAGGGTCTTGATCTTGCTCAGACTGGTCTTGAACTCCTGAGCTCAAGAGATCCTCCCACCTCAGCCTCCCAGAGTGGTGGAATTACAGCTGTGAGCCACTGTGCCTGGTCATGATCATGGATTTTTTTTTTTTTAAGACAAAGTCTCACTCTGTCAACCTGGGTAGAGAGCTGTGGCATCTTAGCTCATAGCAACCTCAAACTCTTGGACTTGAGTGAGCCTTTTGCCTCAGCCTCCCAAGTAGCTGGGACTATAGGTGCTCGCCATAACACCTGGCTAGTTTTTCCATTTTTAGTAGAGACAAGGTCTCGTTCTTGTTCAGGCTGGTCTTGAACTCCTAAGCTCAGGTGATCCACCCACCTCAGACTCTCAGAGTGCTAGGATTACGGGTGTGAGCCACCACACCTGGCTATTACTATGGATTTTATAAAGGACTTCTCATCATGCTACACTGTTTCCCGGAGCAAGGAGCAGGAGTAACCCCATAATAGTGCAGATGTGTGTTGCCAATGGGCTGCAGAATGCTCATTTGCCCAGATCTGAGCTTTGCCTTTTTTAGAAAAGTGACCATCAGCTGATCCTGGAGGAGTGGTTGATTTGCACCACTGTTGCACTCCAACCCAAGCAACAGAGCAAGACCCTGTCTCTTAAAAAAAAAAAAAAAAAAAAAGTAGAGAGTGTTAGTGTGCTTCTACAACATTTCCAGTAATTTTCAGACTTTAATGAAAGCCATTGCTGTTATATTTTTCCTTGCTCTTTATTGGGAAGTTGGCAGGGGAGAGAGGGTAGGAGGGGAGCTACTCTCCTTGCATAATTATCATCTATTTTCACTTGTAAGCTGTTAACAGGGAGGTACCATATCACTTCAGCTGCTTTTTTTTTTTAATTTTCAATGTATAATTAAATGCTATCATACAAATACAGAGAAGTTCAGGAAAGTGAAGCAGTTAGTTATATAGAAAAGTGATGACATAAATTTCTATGTTTAAAAAAAATATTACCCAAATTTTAGCAAGGTAGAAAGAAATAAGTTACCTTTAAAATTTTGAGGCTTTGCAATTTGAATTGGCTGTTTGGAGATACCTTGGATATTCTGAAAATAAGAGAATACCTTTAGTTGGAATCGACTAAAGTCGTTGGAATCGACTTTTAAATTAATCTATACTATTTAAGGGTATTTAAAACGCATCACATTAATATTTAATACAATTTTCTAATATTGAAACATAATTTTGATGGATACATTACTAAGTAGTCAGCAGATTTGAGAACAATTCTTTTTGACTGTAGCCTGCATGGCAGTTATCATAATTATATACAATTCTTTCTTTTTCTTTCCTTGGAAGTCTTGCCCTGGGTAGAGTGTAATGGTGTCATCATAGCTTACTGCAATCTCAAATTCGTAAGCTCAGTGATCCTCCTACCTAAGCCTCCTAAAGTAGCTGAGATTAGAGGTGTGTGCCAACATGCCTGGCTAATTTTTTACTTTTTTTGTAGAGACGGGGGTCTCAATGTTGCCCAGGCCAATCTTAAACTCCTGGGCTCAAATGGTCCTCCACTTTGATGTCCCAAAGTGCCAGTGTGAGTCACTGCCCAGGTCTAGTTGAGATTGCATTTTTTTAGAGATTCCCTTGGCAACGAGTGAAATTTGAAGCCTGAGAGCATTTATATGGGCATGGAAGGAGGCGGCAGAGGGCTCCGAGGAGAAAGTAGGAATACCCCCAACTGGATTGCAGTATCTGGGCTGAGTGGGTCGAGGGAGGAGAAACCACCCTCTGGGAAGAGGCCAAACCCTCACAGTCCCGGAAGCAGGAGAGACCACTCTGAGCATGGAGCCAAGTCAGGTCCTCAGCAGGACAGAGTGGAGATGGTGCAGCACAAAGGAGCCACCAAGCCCCCAGAAGGAAGGAAGCCTAAGCCTTTGCTGGGCAGGGAAGGTGAAGCCCGTGTTGCTGTCCTAGGGCACTGTGACTTACAGAAGAAAGAAACACAGCTGCCAGTGGGCACCTTTACTCAGGACCTCTTGAGATATGGTCCCAGGGTCATGGTCACTCATGTTCAGCTCAGAATAAACCTCTTCAAATTATTTTGGAGAGGTTGGTTTTTTCCATTAACAAGCTGAATATGAGTGAGCATAGCCAGGGATTCACAAATCCAAGAGACTGTCAGTAAGTGGTCCTGAGGAAGTTGGGTCACAGTTAGGTTTTATACATAGGGAGACAGGAATTGCAGATAAAATCATAAACCAGTAAGTGGAAGACACACATTGGTTTGACCTGAAAAAGCAGACAACTAGAAACAGGGGCTACAGGAGAGTTCAGAGACTCTTTAATTTATAATTGCTTAAAGAAATAAAGCTTTGTTTAAAGGCTTGGAATAAGCAGAAAGGGATATTTTAAGTTAAGATACGGAAGTCTGCTAATCAGAGCAAAACCCCAGAATCCTGACTCAGAGTGATCTGGGCAGAACTGAAGCCCTGCAGGCCTGAATGCATCTGGCCTTTTTGGGTCTTAGGTACTGTTTGTAGTATGGTTTCTTATTGCCACAAAGAATGTTTTGTCAGCTTTCTGATCTCTATTTTAACATCCTGGTCTAAACTCTAAAAGGGAGGGCATAAGGAGGTATATAGATTTAGTACCACTACTGAAACCATTTGAAACCATTATATAATTTATGGATATCTTGTTGATATGGTTTTTAATAGATGTTTATATCACATAGGAGGGACATTCATTAGTGAAGCAAAAAGTAGCACACAGCAATGTAAATATCTTGATTAGAATTATTTCAAGATAGCTATTATAACATTTGTGTAGGTCCTAATGAAAATAGAGCTTCAATATTGTATTAGGAAAGCAAAGCCTCTTCGTATGTGGTGCAGTCTGTACCCTAAATAAAAATTTTAAGAGTTTTCATCAAATAATAACTTACGATGGCTGGTGCCTTACAAGACAGAATAGAACACTTTCTATTATTAAAAAAGTAATAAATAGCTCTTTTACCTTTTTTTGGCACTTTCAAAGGGATATTGGTTAAATTAAATTTATCTCAAGGTGTAGGTTTAAATTTGTAACTCTTATTTCTGCTGATGGCAGAAAAAATAATGCTGCCATTTGTGGAGAGTCTCTTTGGGGTCATGCAGCATTCTTTCTCTCTTTTCTTTTAGAAAATGGCACTCACATTTTCATTAAGCCCTCTTGCCTTGTCTTAAGCCAGCCACCTCACCTCCAGGCCATCAAGGGCACCCACCAGAGGACTTCTCCCACTTTCCTGGAAGCTGCCTGCAGGGAGGCCCCTCACCCCCACTGGAGATTAAACTAAGAGAATCTCCAGGTCTGCGGGGACTGTGTGCTGTGCCTCTGAGACCAAGCCGGGGCCTCTCTGAGGCACCACTCCCAAGTATGGAAATAAATGAAAAGCTTGAGTTTTTTTCCAGGGGGAAGTCTAAAAGTCCTGGATGCAATCCGGTGAGAACAACAGCCTCCAAACAAGCCATAGTCAGAAGGTGTCCTGATTCCCTACGGAAACTAAAAGGTGGCATTTTAATACCTGATTAAGCCAAAACTAAGAAGCTGAACTAACTCTGACCACCATTTTTTATTCTTAATTTCCCCCTAAAGGGCCTGTCACACCCCCTTAACATTCTTTTCTGCTAATCCAAGAATCTCTGAATCTAACTATCCTCCCAACCCACCCCCTTGCAGGATATCCCACCTCTAGGGGCAAGTCTTGAAAAGCATTGGGGAGTTACGAGTTCTGCAAATACAGCCTCCCGCTGTTGCTGCAGCTCTCAGCTCCAATGTTGAACCCTCCTACATCAGGAGAGGTCTATATGAAAGAGAGGCTGAGAAAAGGAGAGGGAGACGCTGGATCTGTGCATAAAACTTCAGCTGCCAGATCAAACCTTTCCTGAAGCCAGTGTTTCCTTAGACTTTGTAAAGGAACATAAAAATCTCAGGACCACCCCTCAAGTACTTATGCAAAAGGTAAGGTCAAGCTTAGAGACTGAGTCCTGCAATACCCCTGTCTGAGGGTGCACCTGTAACATTACACATTGGACAGAACTCCACAGAAAGACAAGGCATGTACAAGGGCTGCCCCACAGACCACAAAGGAAATTCCTTGCTGGCCTCCCATAAACAAGGATGTCCAAATTGTGACTTTAGGTTAAAGGTTGAGTGTGACTCCTAAAACCAATAATGTCTACTTCAGGTTTATCTCCCAGGTGCAGGCCAGAGAAGAGAAGAGAGCAGTCCCCTCCACCTGCCTGGGAACATCTCATCACAGATCTTCCTTTGCCCTCCCCACCCCCGTCCTACTCAAATATTCACCTCACGTGATGTAAAAGGTGGATTTTCTGGGCCTCACAGAGTGTAACCATTTGCCTCACTGCCCACCCCTCCTCATTTTCCTTTCTGTATGCTCTCTCTTCAGATACTGAAGTCCCCAAATTCCTCACCAGAGAAAACAGTCCCAGGGGCTTCTGTGGTTTGTGTTTTCCCAGGTGCATCCTCAGAGTTTTGACTTCATTTGAGATCTTAGCTTCATTCATTTATTCTGGGTTGTCAACTTCTAAGTCAGGGAAGCTGAGAAATAGTCCCTAATGCTTGACAGCAGGTTGAGTTTGGTTCTCTATTACTTGCACCTGATCATCCTCCAATGAACCGTGTTTTACCCCAGTTTCAGACTCCAGCCGCTCTCCCCTTCAGTCACCCTCCCTCTACTTGCTCTCCCGCTAGTGCAGTGTCTGGGGTGATAGGTGATGGGGGGGCCTACATACCACCATGGCACCAGCAGGGAGGAGCCTGTGTCACCAGCTGTGGCTGCCCTGCCCTACTGTCCTGCCTTGTCTGCCTCTGCTGGTGAAGTCTCCATGAAGGACGGCCATCTGTGCTCTCAGCAGAGCCAGTATCTGCTGTCCCTCCTCTGCTGACTTGGTCCTGGAGGTGGCTCTAGTGACTGACATCTCCTGAGGCTCAGCTCTACCCTCCCTGTGGACCAGGCCTTGGACTGTCCATCTCACAACTCCCTCATGGTTCAGCCAGAACTAGGCAGCAGTGGATCCAGGGGCCACAGGAGCTCTCAGTCCCCACTTATGCCTGTGGGGCCATGGACACATGGAGGGAGGGACAGCTTCTGGCCCTCTCTGCCCAAACACTACCAAGTGTCTGGTGTCCCTGGGAGCCTCAGTCCCTGTGCCCTGTGCAGCCTGTAGGGGTGCCTTCCTCTCACTGCCTCTCTATCTCCACCGAGAGGGCCATAATCAGTGGCTTTTGGTCCCTCTCATCACTCATGGTTCTGGGTTCTGCTTCCTGCTTAGCAGCTCTCAGCCCAGGGAGCAGCATCTCCCTGGGACATGGAACTGCCCATAGCAACTAGTGTCCTCTCTACTCAGCAGCTTCCTCCACATGTGTAGCACTAAACTCTGAAAATACAAGGCTTTGAGTCCTTATAATTAAGAGATGCTTCTAAAATTCAAAAATTAACAAAACAAAATACTGTTTGATCTCTAGTGCCTGATACTTTCCTTGTTTTTACTGTTTTCTTTCACAGGTTTTAGTCAAAAGCCAGAGCTGAGGTCTGACTCCCTTCCTTGCAGAAATTGCATCTCTCTTTGAAGTAAAAGAGGCCTCAGTGGCCTCTATGTAGCTGGGGATGATAGGATGAAACCTGCTTTCTGGTCTTTCAGACCTACCCCTGTGCTGTCAGGTGTTGTGCTCAGTTACAGCTGCTGATAAGGAGACTTCAGCTTTATACTTTCCTTGTTCTTGCCACCACATGTAACGACAACCCTGGGCATTATACAGAAAGCAAACGTAAGAAGACTGCAAGGGAGCCAACAAGGCAGGCGGGACCCAGAGAATCACACAGAGGTGAGTTCCCAAGGCTTCTTCTGGTCTAATATGTCACAGACTGGGTACTAGAGAAGCCAGCAATAACCTGGAAATGCCAATAGTTACTGACCAAAAAAAAAAAAAAGTCTGCTCTCATTAGCGGAAGGATCAGAAAAGGAACAGCCTAGCAAGACAGAACACTTAGACAATGAGCACACTACTTACAGTCAAATGCCACAGAAAAACTGTAGCTGAATTT